AGGACCGGTAGGAGCTAACAAAGACTATTAGAACATAAAGACTCCTGATGGCCTGTGCTACCCCCCCCCCCCCCCCCACCCACACACATAAACTAAACTATGAAACAGAGCTACTAAACAAAAGAATGATAAAAAAAACAAGGTACTTAGGTTAAGTTATGTTGCTCAAACTTTAATCTGCCTAAGCAGAATAATCATACACTCAAACAAGGAAATCTTGGGTTCCACTGGTGGCTAAAATATCTACACTAAATAGTAGATAAAGCAAATGTAATTCTAACAATATCATGGCTGAATGCTTCAATAAAAACACTAAAACCCATCCATAAATGGCAAATGTATATAGCCCTAATTCACTGGTGAGAACCTTAAACAAGACAAAATGAAATAAAGTAAAATTAACAATATGCACACAAAAAGTTACACATGCAGTTCTAGTGCAAGAGCCGTAGGAGTTCTTATTACACTAATAAATTAGTGAAGAATCCATGTTAAAATATTTGCATAATCTATGATAAATCTTCTATAAGTCTTTGAAAAATCTACTCTCCCAGATCCCAACAATGTCTTAAATATGAAAATAATCTCTCAAGTTTTTGACATAAAGAAGCAGTGTTGGTGCTTGTTAGATCTGTTGGCCAATGGACAATGAAGATCATGGGTAAGTCCACTTGCAGCTACTGAGTGAATTGCCAACAATAATTATTTGGTATGCTAATTAAAAAGTGCATTGTTATTCCTGTTAGAGAATCAGAAAAGAAGGCACCTAACTCCATTTGACCCATTTAGAAACTGAGGAACAATATAAAAACAGCAAAATTTTTTAAAATTAACTTTTAAACCAAAAGGAACAAGCCATACATTACTTTTCCTACTGTACAGCAGAACTGTTTAGTTGGGATGGTTTTAGCACGTGAATAATTTATTTAACAGAACCTTTAAACCTTTAGGTTTAGAAAGACTAAGTAGTTTTGGGACATTCTGTTCTAGTGACTGATATACTTGTTGTGTTCTAAAAACCATAGTTTCATGGATTTTTTTGGGGGGGACAAAAACTTAAAAGGTACTCGCACTCACACTGTACATGTTGTTTACAAGAAACAGCTAATGAGCTTCTGTTGTGGTTTATTGTTTTTCATGTAAATATTACTGCTCCATTCAGTAGTAAAAGGTGTGGCAATAAAACCATAAAGTTAAAACTTTGAAGGCATGAGTGTCTCAAGATTTTCAAATTATTTATTTTTTATAACTTCAACTGTTAACCCTTCCACATTTGAAGAAGGAAAAAAAGGGGGGTATTATTTATTTTATTTTGTATAACCGAAATTTTGATAACAGATAATGGAATAAATACTGGGAATTTTAATGAAAGGATATCCATTTTGAGAAGTGTACATCAAGGGCATCTTTGTATTGAAATATGAGTTGGTGTTAGAGTAGAAAAAATAGGAGATAAAATATAAAGTTTTACTAAAAAAACTTGTGTTAATTCAAGAAGTTTTAGAGCTTAGGAAATGGAAATGTGAATACTGAAAGATTAAAATAAGTATTTTTTTCATTTTTAACATAACAATCACCTCTGACTCAGACTTTTCAGGATCTGAGTCACACTGACTTAGTAAAAGCTGTATAAGGTCATAAACACGTCTTTAGTAAAACTACTTTATAAAAAACTGATTTTTGTACAACACACTTGTAATGTTTATTGAAAGCTTGCTAAATTTTTGTATGATTTATTGTTGTTTTTTTTGCCAGAAATTGGAGAAGCATTAGCAAAATAACAGCTACATGCAGATTTGAATCTAAATTTTTCATGATTGACAGACCTCTGAGTTTTGCATTTCATCTTGGTTATAGAAGTTATGTTTTATCTTCATTACTATCATAAGGAATACAGTTTAAGCTTTACAACCTTATACAACATAGGAATAACAGTTTTTGGTGTTATGAAGAAAGCTTAAAATGGAAAGGTTGTGAACAACCAACAGAAAGTAACATTCGTTTTTGTGTATTTATTGATCAGCAGCTGACTACATGTTTTTTTGTTATTTGAAACTCACCGACTTCTTTACTCACACTACATCGAATTGGTATTTTGCCACTGGAGATCATTCCGACCTTTTCAAAACTGAAATAATTTTCTACAATTAGAGACCCCTTGAAATGTTTTTTATCACTAATTGTAATAACAAAATATGTTGATATCCTTTTGCATAGTCACAATGTCATTATTACAACTGTTTTACTCATTAAGTCATGTTGTATACCATTTAGGCAGTCAAAACCCAGTGTTTTACAATTAGGGAACAGAAAAGCCTGATACAGAATATGTCATAAGAGTTATCAATGAAATAATTGTTTTATCTTTGCTAAACTGAGTAAAAAGCTTTGAATTTTAGACTTCTTTAAAACTTCAAACAAATGGTGAACAATTTTTTATCAAGGTTTAGTATTCAAATATCTTATATTGTTTCTTTCTCTTCGAGTTAAAAGATCCATAATCTTTCAGAGATATTTCTTTATAGGTGTGAAGCATGTAATATTTGCACTGAATCTAATGCCCAGTATTTTATACCAATTATTATAAAACAAAAAATAGATATGTATTTAAACAAAATTAAGTCTTGATGTTAGTACTTGTTATATATACATCCACATGTATATATGTGTGTGGTAGAGACTTTTCAGTGTATGATTTTTTTGTACACCTGTGTGTTAATAGTAGTACTATGCATTTTTAGAGTACTCAAGTTTTTGAGTAGATAGATGTTGTTATATATATATCGACCAAGACCAAATCAAAATTGTGTGGTGTCAATATCTGTAAGTTTTTGTTATATACAAACTTTTATCTTGAGTTATCTAACCAGTGTAATTTTTTTGAACTACCTTGAGGTGTTGGACCTGATCTTTAAATGAAGAGACTGTCTTAAGAAGCATTGCCACTGCTCTCCATGTGTCCAGTCAACCAGTTACTGGACAAACAGGGTTTTCAAAGTCTCTGTTAGAGAAAAAACCTGGCATCTATTTAAATCCAGATCAACCTTTAGTTCAGGTATGCGAGTTGGCTTTTAATGTATTCATACACTTGGTTTTTGCTTGGTGAAATAAATAGTTAATGTAGCATAGAGAAAATTCAAATAGCTGCTATGGTCAATGTTAACTGTAGAAATTTAAAAAAAAGATACATTAATTTTCTAAACATAAAGTTTTTTGACAAAAGAGCAGTCTTAAATTTTAAACTGTACACTTCCTTAATTCATGATTTATTAAGATCACTTTTTTTTATGCAGTACACGTTTTAAGTACCATTTACACATTCTTTGTTCATTATCATGATAAACTTATGGTTGTTACAGAGACTTGATATATGTTGTAGTGAGATTAACTCTTTCAGCATGGGCTTGGCTCCTAACCATATTGTGTTTGATCTAGTTTTCAAGCTATAACTTTTAAATTAAAAAGCGTATCTTCACGAAATTTTGCAGATTATCAGTAAACATTACAAGGCATTTGTACACAAAATATCAGAATTTTATAAAGTGTTAAGATTTTTTGAGTAATGTTTTCTCGTGCCTTTTTTCTTTTCACATGTTGACTATCCAACATGCAAAGTAATTTTGAGCTTAAGATTAAAAATACTTCTATGCATCAGAAAATTTTCAAATTTCACATGCGAAATCTTTAAAATGCCCAGATAATTATCAAATGTTTCTTGAGAAAAAACTATATTTTATCTGTTATTTTCACTAACAAATCTGTATGGGTTCAGTCGATTGGACTGACCTCGTAATCACCATAAAAAATTAAGAAATAAATATAAATTATGCCTTTTCCATTCTAGAATGACTACAAATTATAACATGAAAAGACAAATGTTTAGTATAAATAGCTTAAATCTCATAACATTATACATTTATATATATTTATTATATTGACCTTTTCAGCCGTGCCTGGCTAACATTACAGTAGATGCATTGATGCAGTGCATATGCACTCATTTTACCCTATCCAATAATATAAAACTGACTTTTAGTCTATACAAAGTGACCTGTCTTGGCTATGTTTTAGTGGACTAATATTTTGTAAAATACAGTCACATTACAATTTTTATACATTATTACTATTTACAAGCAAGTTCTTAAACTCCAGTTATTTATCTTAAAACACAGAACAGTAAATAAAGAAGTATAGCAAACAATTATCTCTTCTAATTACGAACTTTGTACTTCTTTGCTGCTTGCTGTAGGTTGCTAAGACTTATCAAATTTTGCACATGGAAGATGTGAAATGAAATAATTTTTTTTAGGTTTTATATATACATTTTGAAGTAACCAAAAATCAAAAATTACAATATCAGTACCATAGAATTCCACTATAATTTATCAAGCTTTGTAATTAAGCTGAATTTGTGTCTAAAAAAAATATGAAATTTCGAGCTCATTAAAGTATTTGCCACTTCAAATCTAGCATAAAAAAAAGTTTGTTGCCCTAATATTTCAAAAGGCTGAGAAAGCCATTAGGGGACATTCCTAGCTTCCTGATGATAACAAAACCTTGTCAAAACATTGTACATTTGCTGTTATGTTAAACTTATATTAAAGATTTTTTTTCATTACCCATTCAAGCCGTCTCCGACAATTATTATGTTTATTCACACTATCAGAAACAGAAGTAGGTGTATGTAATCAAGTGTTTCCAAAAATGGAAATAGGTGAGCATGGGCACTGTGTTTGTATCAGTAAATGTAGCGATATCTCAATAAAATAGAAAAGATAGTAGGTTTCTATTTTATATTCTAGCTTGTCAATGTTGGTCGTTTGAGTTCCTAATTCATAAGAAACTATAGACTTTGTACTTGGACATCACAAACATCTATTTTGAACCAATGCTGCATTCAACATACCACATGACACATAAAAATCAATATTTAGGTATGTTTTTTTAATATTTACTTTTAAATTAAGAAATTAACTAATGTATAATACTAAAATTTGAATTATAATCAACAATTTGATATCAAATTTGTTAACATACATTCATAAAATAGTAGTCAATAAAATTTTCAACATGAGTCAACAAATACGATGACACGGTCTTTGACCCGTGTCATTACGGTTAACAGGTTAGGGTACATTGTGGTCAGAGTAGGAGGCTGAAGTATATTGTAGGCAGAGTAAGAGACTTAGAATATGTCAGAGTAAAATCTTGGGGTATATTGTAGTGAAAATAGATTTTCTGTGATAAATATTCCTTGAACAAAGAGATTAGTTATTTTTATACAACAGAGTTTACAGAACTTGCATAACAAAGTATTTTATAAAAATATTTGATAGAGTAGGTATTTCTGTTTTCCATGCAAAAGATAACAGTACAGTTCTTATCCATCAGGCACTGCTTGTATCCGAAGATGACATTCAGAAACAAGAAGAACGCGTACAGTTGGCAAGAAAGAGACTGCAAGAGGCCCTGAATGACTTGGAAGGATAGGCTTTGAAGAAGACTGCACATGACTAACTTCATTCCTAATAAAAACTACTATTAAAACCTTTTAACTGATTCTCAAGAAGTAAAACATGATTAGTTACTCATACATTTTACACAGAAAAAATTTCTAAATTAGCTGTTATCAGTATAAGAGTTCATCTTTCATGTACAGGACTTTGTTGTAACTTATAACAATTCCTTTGTCCATGCAGTTAATTACTGTTTCACTAGTATCAGACTGAGCATTTGGTTGTACTAAATATAATATTTAATGGTCATTCAGTTTTCATTTCTTGTCTTGGTACTATTAGCATCCAGATGTCACATTTTTTTGTCTTGGTCATATTAGTACCCAATTGTTCAAATTCTTTTGTTGGTACTGTTAATGTCCATATGTTGAACTTAATTGTGTTGATATTTTTAGTTTCCTATTGTTCAACATTGATACCATTAATATCCATATATTCAGATTCTTGTATTGGTACCAATAGTATAAAAATCTTCAGTTTCTTGTGTTTGCACTATTAGTTTATAGTGTTGTGATGAGAATGACATAAATGTAAAAGTCTGTATGATGTGGGAAACAGATTATGTTATAGATATTCTGGATTGATATTTATTGTATGGAATTCACATTTTTCATTTAAATTGTATGTGTACAGTTCTCTTAGTATACCTACCTTATTAAAATAAATTATAAAGAATGTTTTTACTCATTTTGTGAACACCTGCTCATTATATAAAATTTGTAAATTGATACAAAAATGAGTTTTCTATGCAAGTGGGTTCCATACTTTTCAGTATACTTCACTATGCTAATGGGTTCAATACTTTTCAGTGTACTTCACTAAGCTAGTTGGTCCTGTACTTTTCAGTGTACTTCACTACACTACTGGGTTCCATACTTTTCAGTATACTTCACTATGATAGTGGGTTCTATACTTTTCAGTATACTTCACTATGCTAGTGGGTTCTATACTTTTCAGTATACTTCACTAAGCTAGTGGGTTCTATACTTTTCAGTATACTTCACTACGCTAGTGGGTTCAATACTTTTTAGTGTACTTCACTAAGCTAGTGGGTTCTATACTTTTCAGTATACTTCACTATGATAGTGGGTTCTATACTTTTCAGTGTACTTCACTACGCTAGTGGGTTCTATACTTTTCAGTGTACTTCACTATGCTAGTGGGTTCTGTACTTTTCAGTGTACTTCACTATGCTAAGTGGGTTCTATACTTTTCAGTATACTCCAACAGCCACTAATGTTTGCTATTCATTGCTAATGTACAGAAAAATTTGACCAAACTTCTATGAAGAAACACTTTTATAAAATTTTTAGTGTAAGAGTAATATCATTCAGCACTTGATATATTAGTGCCATCTGTAATTAAATTATTTAAATATTCATAAGAGTCTGTATTCCAATAAAGAAAGGTTAAAGCAGCATATGAAAGTAAGTTTCTTTGGACACACATCTAACAAAAGCTGCAGTAGCTTGTTAAATCTATGGCTGTTACTCCTTATATGTCATAAAACTGTAAAACATTGTAAAATAGAAATGACTTAGTGAACCTACTAAAATTATTTAGACTTGAATTACAAATTAAAAAAAATTACCTTCATTACCATGTCAGATATTCTGAATCAGGGTAATGTGCCTTGTAGATACCTTTTACTTGTGAAACATAAAGTATTTGTCAAATATTACCTTTTTACTGTGTAATTCATATCCCTCTCATATGCATTAAATTGTTATATATTTATTTCTAAAGGTCTAAAACACATGTAAGTGGATTACTGAGTAAATGTTAAAGAGATGACTTTTTAAGCCATATATAATCTTATCTACTATTCTCAGTTTTTCAATGTTTTTTAAATTTGAAGTAAGAAGTGAGTTTTGTGTAAAATGAAGTGACTTGATGATCTTGACATAAGTAAACTTTTTAGAGATTACTATTTGAAGGTAATAAAACACATTCCAGTAAACTGATTTATTCAATAAATAAGACTAATCCAGCAGTTTTTCTTTGTATGACGATTAATAAGAATTTCCTAATAAAAGTAAAGAAGAGTGTATAATGATATGTCAATCATGCTATATCTAGACCAATACTGTTGTTCTTCAAGCTGCCCGGGACACCACAGTGGTTGACTGTGTCTTATAATTCAACACTTATAATTTATTCGACGTCTGCCAAGATCCAGTGACTTATACTTGTAAATTGAGTGAAGTAGCGTTACCCACTAAACGCTGTAACAATTGAAGTTAAAGAACTAAACCTGTAGACCAAAGTCAAAACTTAAATACACAAAATCACTTAAATACTCTTTATGTTAGAAATAATCTCCTAAAACAAGCATTGTAACAATTGGAACTAAAAATTTAGACTAAATTTAAGACTCCATTGGAACTAAAACCTTTATTACAACAGCCTTGTAGCTAAACCTACAAATTTGCTTCATTTAGACGCGTTTACTTAATTTATATATAATATAATATAAAGAAGCGTAGATATCTCGAAATTATACGCATGACAATTTTTGAGATTTTCTTGTATGAAACAAAATCACAAGTCCCAATAGTTATATATTTCAGTCATAGATCTGTTCCCAACAATTTCTGTTATCTCGGATCCATCACACAAGATCATTGACACGATATTTATTATTGTGACATCCGTCTCCAAACCAGCAGGGCTTTAGGCTTGCATGATCTTCAGACCTAAAACCAAATGATCTCATACAGCAGAAAACGTAAATTCTGTATGAATTCAGTCTGAGCGTTAAAATACAAAAATAAGGGTGGTATATGTTACTCAACAATTTGCCCAGCAGTAAGTCTTATAACACTAAAAATCGGGCTTCGATACTCGCGGCAGGCATACACAGTTAACATATTGTTTAGCTTTGTATTTAACAACAAACAAAATTGAATAATTTGGTTTTATAGGATAGTAGTTCGTTACCATAACAAGGAAACTCGTTCAACATGTGTGTATTCACTTCTCTTGCTTGATAGGAAAGCCAGTTATGCAAGGGCATCTTATTCTTGTCAAGTAATCATAAAAATTGGTTATTTTATTAAACTAATCTTTCCATACGTATATTATGAATTTGTTTAATTTTGCTTTTAACAATTAATTTTTTAAAATCTGTCTTACTTTTTTCTGTTACAATCACTTTGCTTTTCTGTACGAAGTATGCTTCTGTGGCACAACGATTGATTCGGTCGACGGATGGAATTTTTAGTGCATACTGGATGGATTTAGACATTTTTCTCAATAAAGTTAGAAAACAAAACTACCTTTACTCTCCAGATAATAATAAAAAAACATTAGTATTATCCAGAGAGTGAAGGTCCTTTTTTTCGCTCTCTAACATGTTTTATTGCGACTGAAAGTTTGCTAATTATAATGCTTTTGATATTCTCACAAGCGGAAATTTCAGATAAGATCGGTATTATCACTAGTTGTAGATTGTCGTATTGTTTTTTATTACTTGATTTGATATTTCTATTACTACACTGGGCAACAAAAACTTTCTCTGCTACTAGAAAAAATGTAACTGCTTCTGAGTACCCACCAAACATGCTCGCCCTTTTAGCCGCGAGGGGCGTTATAATGTGATGGTCAATCCCACTATCTGTTGGTAAAAGAGTTGGTGGTGGGTGGTGATGACTAGCTGCCTTCCCTCTAGTCTTACACTGCTAAATTAGGGACGGCTAGCGCAGATAGCCCTCGTGTAGCTTTGCGCGAAATTCAGAAACAAACAAACAAACTGTTTCTGAGTAATTTGACGAGTTATGATAGATTTATTCAAAATATTCTCATATACTGTGAAAATAATTTTTTCTTTAATAACTTTATTAATTCATTGTAAATTTCATTTAAGAATGTATAATCTGCATGCTTTCTTTCGTGTTCACAGCAGGAGTTGATGGCTTAGCGTTCCCATTGTGCAAAAGTACAGCTTTCAGACTAACTTTAGATGAGTTGATAGAAAGTCTCCATTCTCGAGGATGATGTTCGGCTCCTAATTTATCCATTAGTGTATCATTCTGTTGTACAGAAACATAAAGTATTATCTTGCATACTGTAGTGAGAAGCGAGACTTTGATGGTGACGTCGGTAAATTGAAATTCTTGTTCCTGGTGCTAGTAAATTATATTGCTGTAAACGAGAACCAAGAAGTTCCCCATGCTGCTTTGATAGAGACAAGTTACGAATCAGATCATTTAGCCCTTCTTGTGTGATCAGATGAAGCAGTTTATGTTGAGGTGACACAGGAATAGAATTACTAGATGGAGAGGGTGAAGATGATTCGTTTTCTTCTTGACAGGATAACTCTTCTGTTTACCAATTCACTGGTGGATGTGGCACTGGAAAACCATCCTCACGAAGTACTGATTTAATTGCAGATGCAGTATCTGGATATTTAATGTATTGTTTAGTTTTGCCTGGATATCCAGAAACATTAGTCATGCAAAAATCAGAATCAGTTAGATTAACTTTGGGCTCACACCATGTCATGGGAACTGCAAATGGCACACTTGCTCTCTTCTTATTCAGCCACTGTGTCAAGTCAGATGTGCAAACTATATAACACACATGTGGAGCCCAGTGTTTAGTAGTTGTAAACTACCTTCACCTTGTGTGTGATGTTTTTCCTTCATGAAACTGTAACATATTTTCCACAAATGTAGCAGAAACTGTTTGGGTGATTTTTGCACTTGCGGAGTTTACTTAAACTGGAGGCAGCCAGCATTTCAAATGATTTTCTAAAAATGTAAAAGAATTTATGTTCATAGAACTAGAGTTTAAAAGATTTTATAAAACGTTTTGTAGAATTTGATTATACGGCGGGTATGATACAAGGAAGCTGTTTCCAGGTGTCGGAATTTAGGTCTTCTTGACCTGGGAGGGTCAGGTTCAAGAATGACCTCTTTCTCCCTTCAGCACTTGATTACTTGCTGTTCAATATTGATTTAATTACTACAAGAGGGTCAGAGTTTAGCTAGTTTACGCTTTCACTCTGACCCCTTTCAGGGCCGTGTCCATGTATGTAATTATATTAATATTGGATACAATTTCACTTTATCCGATTGTCCACACTACACGACCAGTTCCACTTGTATTTTTCACATTTCTAATAATTTTAAGTTTCACATATATAACCATATCAGGTAAATTAAAATTATTGATTTAGGTTGTGGCTTATTTCCGGGTAGGTGAATGTTAATTTGTCTGAGCAGACGCTTTATGTTAACTATTGTGGTTTACAACGTTTGATTTCTGCCGCTGTTTAAGGTTGAATTGTATGTACCAGGTATATCTTTTATGATAATGGTGTACCTTAGTGGTAATATTTTCGTCGAAGTGTTAGAAGTTCTGTATTTCCTTATTACATTGTGTTGTGTTGCGTCTCTGTCTTTTTTGAAGTGACTGTAGTAAAGCCGTCTAAGTTTGTTGTGTGTCTTGTATTTTATTGTTTTCTGCTTCTGTTATTTTATGTATATCAATATACAAGGCTTTTGGTTTGTAGGTAAGACTAAACTTTCAGAGATAGTTGTTTTAGTTATTCCTGTTGGGTTTACAAGCTCTACCTCGGTATTAGCTGTATGTCCCGTTTCTAGTTAATTTTCAGAATTTTCTGGAGATTCACTTATTTTACATTTCTTTCTGAGTGTTTTCTTTTTCTTCTTACTGCCCCCCCCCCTCCCTTGTTGTTCTATTGCATCAAATTGTTTTTTTTTTGCTTCTGAACACAGTGCTTTGATGGGGGTGGAGGTGTGTGTGTGTGTAAAAGTTCGTTGAAGTCTAAATTTTCTTTTAGGTCACCTACAATACTAGACTTTACAGTTTTTAGTTTTCGTTCCATTAGGTTCCGAGGTCTATTGTTGATATTTTTGCGTAGATGACATCATTATGGATTCGCTACTAGGAAATGACACTGCAGAAAGTGCCGCCGCGCACACACGTGACCATTTGTTCTTTGTTGAGTAGGTTGTTTTTATGTTACCAGTTTTGTAGTAGTCGTACAGTGCGTTAATCTTGTAAGAATTTGCCGTGGTTGGGTAGCTCGCAGTTGGATGTCTGTGTTTGCATTAGCTTAATTGCGTGAGATCCTTATTCTCTATGCCGTTATCTGTTAAGCCCGCCTAGAGGGAAAGTTGGGGAAGAGCCAAATGGAGAAGGTACTGGTTTGATGAAGCAGATGATTTTTGCGTCCACTCTCTCCAAAAAACAAAATCTCTTCTCGATGCAAGGAAGATTGTTTGTTTTTAAAATTTCGCGCAAAGCTATACGAGGGCTATCTGCGGTAGCCATCCCTAATTTAGTAGTGAAAGACCAGAAGGAAAGCAGCTAGTCATCATCACCCACCGCCAGTTTTTTGGGCTACTCTTTTACCAAAGAATAGTGGGATTGACTGTTACATAATAACGCCGCCATGGCTGAAAGGGCGAGTATGTTTGGTGGGACAGGGATTCGAACCCGCGACCCTCAGATTGCGAGGCAAGCGCCTTAACCACCTGGCCTTTGATGGGACTTTGTTTTAACTGTGCGCTGAGCGCGGCGAATTGACTATCTAAGTGTGTGTGAGAGAGAGAGGATAAAAAAAAGTAATTATCCTGGCAATAATTTAGTTTAAAAGAAGAGAAAGCAAACTTTCTCTTCGGCTGCTCTTCCCAACTGGGGTGTTCGGGAACTGTTGTTCCCCTTTCAACCCCGCGCGTGAGATTGCATTACTTTAGTGATTTTATTTTTTAGTTGTGCTTGTTGAAATAAACCAGAGAATAGAGACAAGAGCCATAGGATAGCCGTGAAGAAAGTCGGATGAGGCAAGCAGAGTTTCTTCCTGTCCAGTGGTGGTTGAGTCGCTGAGATGAGGCAAGGAGATCCAGATATACATACCAAGTATTGAGTTCTATGTCGCGTGGATTTAAATTTTTAAGATTAATTATTGAATTTTAGAAAATTTTGATTGCAATATCAGTTTTAATTCG